GCGGGGCTGTGGGGTATCTAGCCCCGGTTCTGAAGTCAAGAAACTGGAGAACTAGTACCTTGACAATATCAGAGCAAGTATAGCAATACATTTCCTTCACTTTCCGGGCTACTTCCAAGGACTCCTCAGGTGGAACATGTTCTCCTCTTTCCTATGTGGAACAATATGTGAACAGTAAGAATGGAAAAAATAGGAAATATAGGATCGCTACAGTTTCCACCATTATCCGCAAAAAATAAATAAAATGTTCACTCAAAAATTTGAACAAATATCGTATCAAATCTAGAAACCATCTTGTGCCTACAGTTTTTTTCCATAGAAACCAGTCATTGAAGGGTGTTTTAAAGCAAAGGGTGGGTCCATAGGAAAAGAATGTGTCATCAAGTTTTTAATTTACATTAGATCGTATATAACTCATGGAAAGGTCTACTCAATAATAAGAAAAAACACAAAATTAAAATTGCTCTCGTGAAATTATTTCACATCGCCAGATTAGAGTACTACCTGTGCAAAAACTTGTTGATAATGATGCGGCAGAAACCTTGTTACTTTAATTTCCAACATTCATATTCAAATACTAGATTAAAATTGAAACAGAAGCAGAAAATGAAGGTCATTGTTCTGAAACATGTGAGGTGATATGGTATAGATCCGTGCAAAGTACAGATAGGTGGAAATAAAGAATGCAAGGCTCAAAAATGAGGAATGGATCCTCTTCTCTGACATTGTATAGAAAATTTCTTCAACAAAAAGTAGGAGATACATAAATTAACTGCATCAAATTCTTCCTCTCACCCCCCAACCAAACACTTCTCTCACCCTTCAAACAAGGATATATTTATAGAACATAATATATTGAGAAAAAACATACTCGCATGAGCTGCTGAATGAAGCGGGTAACATCTTTCCCAGCAACTGGAATCGACTTAATGCTGCTTCCAATAACGTAACCATCTGCAACAGGAACAACATGAGTAGCCCCATCTCCAACATCCACAACAACTCCTGTCATCTCACACTAAGAGAAAGTGTTGAACTATAAGAAAAGTGAGCATAATAGTTCTGTCACAAAAGAGAATTGTGGATTTAGAGATCAAGAACGTGTACAAAAGTCCATTCTAAGTATTTAGATATCATTTTTCTTATCAGTTGACATTAAGCAAGTTAACAAAATCCTAAGCCTCTGTTTGATGGGGATTAAAATCAGATTTTTAGTAGATTTCAATAAATGTTAATGAATGTGTGGTTGAAAAGTCAAAGGTCCCATAAAATATGTGGCTAAAGTTAGTTGTTAACATTAATTTAAATTAAAATTTAGATTTTAATTTTTACCAAACTGGGGCTAAATAATGATATTTTGGAAGCTCTTAAATGGCTGTCAACAG